TACTGCCGAAACGTCAGCTAGTGTTGTATTGTATTGTGTTTTTCTATGGAAGTAAATGTATGCTGTTTAAAAACCTCGCGATTGCTGAACAAGAAAACGACGCATTCATATTCCAATGCCGAGGTTAATAGAAAGTCGATGCTGGAAAAATGGAAGATTTACTGGCGCCCGTTCGGGTCACTCGACGATGAAGGGGAAGACAGGTGATGCAGGTGAATTCCCGGACTAACTTTTTACTGAGCTCAGTTTTGTTCAATAAAGTTAATGTTTTCTTCTTGTGCATTTTTTAACAGCAGTGTTTAAAAGAAGCTGTTCTCTATGTGGTTGAAATTCACGTAATAAGTTTTACCTACTGAGGCGGCGAAAGTGCATGACAGAGCAGCACGCCGGTCAAATTTACCCTTTCAGGCTTTGAAGTAGTGCAAACGTCAGCCAGTGCTGACTCAAACTTTTATTAGCAACCTCGTGTCTGCTCATGAAAAGAAGATTAGCCTGTTTCTATTAGTTCTAATCAATTTTTTCATCTGTATTGGTGAAGCCTGAGAAATGAACACTTTTTCGTTACTATACTGAACACCTGTTTCCTTGAAGCCTTAATTAAGCCAAAGAGAATTGTTATTTTAGGAGCAATACGGCCTTCAAAAGGCTGATTCGACGGAGGCCATTCCGTGTTATTTCGAAGAGGGAATCAGCCTTCATGAGATGGAGAAATTAAGGGTAAGAAACATGTTAACATATAAAAATACTTTCGTACTTGTGACTTCGAGAAACTTATAGTCAAAATGTATTTTCTGCGTAATGAATTTGGTGAATTGTTGCTATTTTTCTAAGCACAAAGTGCTACACTATTTCGCTTATTGACTTTTCCGCTTAAACAAAAGCTGCAAATATTCTCCGTTTGCGAACCAGAAAATCAAAAAAATTAGTATGTCTGCGTGGCGTGAGTGGCACAATGGTCGAAGGCGCCCTGCGACGCACAAATGGGATCGTTCCCCGTGCCCGTGGCTCACCAAGCCTTCCATCTGTTCGGGATCGGCAAATTGGTACCAGATTTGTCTGGGAGAATAGCATCACTGGCATGATACATCGGTAGGCCACAGCGAGTCACTGTAAAGGCCAGATATGCACTCAATCACCTCCAACGATTCCTAATGAGGTTGAATGCAGGGCGCATCTCTCAGAAACTGATCAACGTAGAGAGCAAGAGAGAGAGCTTTTAATATATTTGCCTTAAATTATGTTAAATGAATGAGAGATAGTTTGTGAGCTGTATACAACAAAATGAAGTACTGGAATTGAACATGTCTCTATTCCAATTCCTTGTTACCTCACATTTTCAACAAACATTTCTGATCTTTATTGTGTTCTAAGCAAATGGTAATTGGCTACGGTAATCTCCGTACTTGGCGTACAGATGATCAACGATGACGAGCGATTGGTAGCCATGCTCAGCTACTTCTACGCCAACTCACAACTCAGCCCCAAAGAACGGGAAATCGTCTGGCGCTTCATCCATAGAAAACTTGGTGAGAAGTTCTGTCTTTGAAATTTAACACTGACAGACTATACTACACTTTTGAGCCATGGCAAACAAAGACCACTGTTCCAGTACTAGGTTTAACACTTGGTCCCGAAATATGGTTGCTCTAGCTTTTACTGCAAATAGTGAAAACTGTAACAAATAGAACCTTTTATCCTTGCATACTCATGTAGTCCGTGCACAGTTTCTGTCAAAGAACTATTTTTGTGAGACCCTAATCGAACAAAGAACTATTTCCCTGGCTCAGCAGGCTCTTTCTCCAAGTTGCACCCCAAGACGGCTGTGCGATCGTATTCCCTGACAGTAACCCCAGGTAGTTACCGTTCCTTTTTGAACGTAGACAAGTTTGACTCCTTGCAACTCGTAACGTTTTTTTCTCCCAGCCGATTGTAGAAGCAGACATGTATAACTACTCTTTTCTGCTTGGATGAATCCTTCAAGAATGTCTCAAGTGTTTTCGTGCATCTCAGTTCCACATCACGGGCGCTTTTTTGCTTCCATAGGGTGGCAACTACTCACGATAGAAGTACCATTACGAAGCAGAAATTTGTCCCAGGAGGTTCGCATGATCCCTTTATTTTTTAAAAATTTCTGTGCAACTTCAGAGTGGCCTCAACAGTTCTGTACGTTGCTGTATAATGAATCAATCGAAGAGGATAAGGATAACGGAGTGATGCTGCGAGTCAAAAGATATGTAGAGGTTTGCCACAAATTTTGATCATCGGATCTCCACTGCGGCCTATTTGATGTGTAGGGCAAGACCGCGTGTAAAGCACTTTTTACCACAATGGCCAAGAAGCTTAGAATGCGAATAGCGACTGGAAGTCGCCGGAACACTGTGGAGTTTTGAATAGACGCCGTAAGATTAGAAGGAAGCATCAGCATCATATTAACTACGAATATCACCCGAGCTCTAAATACTACATGGCCTTCCAAGCAACGATTTACATTTTTAGCATAGACCAGTGCAGTTCAGCACATCTTCACCTTTCATCTCACTTCACTTCTATGTTTCAGCTTGACGTTGCTTCATGGTCGATGCGTTTGCTCAAAACGGCCGAGTGTCTGCGAAAAGTACCTCGTTTTGCATGGGCGAAGTTTTATGCAAAGTAGATTCTTCACGTCGGCCCAATGCTGTTGAATCTCTGAATTGCAGTCACGATTTTCTAAACCATTTCTAACTAAGTTTTGATTTAAATTCTAAGACTATTTTATTTATAACACCAAGCATACACAAAATGTTTATGTGCTTCTTAAGTGTAAGGTTGTAACATGAATTATATGAAGAACTAAATTAAACGTGGAAGAACCTGGTGAATTATGCAAACACTAAGAAACGATCACATGCACTAACTGTAACAAGAGTTTTCACGGAAGCTTATCACTAGATGAAGTCTTCAACGTCTGATGGTCAAGTTTGCATTTCTGCTTTGTGGCACGACGTCTAGTTTCATGTTGGCCACGGACTTGTAGACAAGAGACGAAGAGTTCTCGATATCTAGTGGATCTGAAGTGTTGAGAACATCAAGAAGTTATAGAAGAGGGTTGGATTCATCAATTTAGAGGTGTTAAGGTTACAGCTTATTATAGTTCACTATGGCCCACCATGAAGTCATGCTGCTGTTAGCAATTAGGAGTGTTTTATAATACAACTCATGTTTTCTACTTGGGCGTTTTTATATTTACCCATCCGAAAGGACAAACACGATCATAAGATTTAGAAGCAGATAACGAATGAATTAGTTGTTAAAAAAAGACTTTATGTGCTATGCCGTACGTAATGAACTATGCCTTTTCCCGATAACTCCGATAGATTCCGTTACAAACAAGGGACTTCGAAAGTCATAACTTAACTTTTTTGTAGAACATGCTTTGTTCTATCGCTCTAAAACTGTCCACGCTAAAAACATTAAACAGAAGATCGATGAACGTCGATCTACTGCTCACTGTAAGTGAAAGTTTTAAGTTTGGAGGGCAATAGACCACTGTCGAATAGTCTGCAAAAAGTAAATTGTAGACAGGTGAAGATACGGAGCTAACTGTTGATAATTCTAGAGTTCACTAGCTGAGAAGCATTAGACCTTCGAGCAGAACTAACTTGCTGTGGACAGATAATTTTTGCTTCGATGCTGAAAACCTAGAAGTTTACAAATTATTTATGAGTGACACTGCGCTCATGCAAAACTCTCCGGATTAAGGGAGACATTTCTATAGCAAAAATAGGTGTGCAAATCATTCCTTAGCTAAGAAATTAACGCAGAGGAGGACCCATCTTACTAGCGCTTGTAGGAAGAATACGAAACGATTCTGAAAATTCGTCATGCACCTGAGCCTGAAGAGAAGACAACGGAGAACAGGGCAGAATTGGAGTGATTTGATAGCGTAGAAGGTTTCGCGATGCGTGGCCCGACTCTTTCCCTACAGCTCAACGAAACTGCAGGCAATTGAGAGCTACAAGCAGGAAAAGCTGTCCTTCAACACAAGATCACAATACTGCGCATAGCTCTTCTTCCAACTAGTCACTCAAACATGTTTAATGAACACATGAAGACCTATACTGAACCAATTCGGAAAACTGATGAACTTCATGATGCACGTATACTTGCGCTACGCGTCGTGTTTACAAAACGCTGAGTTCTTGATTTTGTTGAAGAAAGCGATAGTAGTGAGTCAAGAACACGGTGATGAAATGATGAATGTTATAAGGTGATATCATGGCATTGCATTCGCGGATTAAATGAAGCAGTGTAATCATTGTTGCTTAGAGTATTTCAATAGCGGTCATATAAACACCTACACCTTCACCTTCAGTCCGAATTACGAGTCTTAAGCAAAAGCTACGCGAACATTGTCCAATATAGGTAATAAATGCTCTTCAGCATAACGTCTAAAGTATTAGTGAAAGGTTGCGATAATAAGACTGCATAGCTGTTCCACGAGCCGAACACACCGATCAATTCATCAATCTGTATAGAAACTGAATCGCTTTGAAGTACACTTCTCAGTGGCTTATCATCTTATCATAAAAGCTGTCTCTTTGTGGGAAACCTCAGTGTTCTAGTGAAGACATCTCCAGGCCCCTTCACTGGCAACAATCTTCGTGATCCATACTCTCATTAATAGGTAGCAATAGTCTCTCGTCAATAAACAAAAGGTTTCTTGTGAATGACTAAGTCAAGAAAACAGCTCTTCGAGGGTTACGCTAGACATAGTAGCTGAGTAGTCAAGCTATAATGCAAAAAATACGGTGAAAAGGTCTATATAGCTAAATGAACCATTAATAAGGAAATGCAGCGGGTGCACTTCGTCCGCCCACTCCCCCCTCCCAACGTATTCATTACGCATGTTGCAGTTATGCTTTACTGTTTTCCTTAACTCTTGTGTAATGTACTAGTTTGTAATGTGACTGTTAAAATTTGTGAAACCAATACAACATGGAACATTTATGAAATCAAAAATATTATCGCCCTGAAATCTGGACTTCTTCCTCGAAAATGTCATCGTGAGCAGCAATTTGTTCCCCATCCGACTCTTCAGTACTACTCATCGACGTCATGTCTTCTAACTGTAATTTAATTATTACTACGCTTGTAGAAACAACATTGAGTGCAGATTAAGGAAACCGTAAAACAGACCGACATGAAGAGTTTGCAAATGGAATGTCGCCTTGTTTTTACAAAACAAAGGTGCGTTATTCCCATGACCGACTTTCTGTTAACCTCGGCATTAATTGATAATTCAATGTTTTTCATCAATAAGCAGACACGAGGTTGTTAAGAAAGTGTTTGGCTGAGTAGATCGCATCTCAATTTGACCGTTCCAGGCTCTGAAGAAGGCGAAACCGCCGAAACGTCAGCAATTGTGTTCTAATAAATTCTATATTAACAACCTCGTGTCTGCTTATTGATGAAAAACATTGAAAGGTGCGTTATTTTGCTATAATGTGGAATGGATCACTACAGAATCGAACGTTGGTTTACGTGCGGTGTATAAGTAGTATTTATTCTGCAAGCTTTATGACTGACTAAGCAAGGAGAGTCGAGCGTAGAGTATTTGATATCCTTACTATAACTCTTAATAAACGCCTGAAATAATACCCAAACTCTATCTTATCTGTGCAATGGCGTAAAAACACTGTGTTTATTATAAGAATGTAGATTTCGAACCGAATCGACTTGTGTTATGTATGTACAATTTTTTATAAGCTAATGCTACATCAAGGCGCGTGCGGCACAGTGGTTGGAGGCGCCACTGCGACACACACGTGGGAATCGATCCACACGTCTATGGTTCATCAAGCCTTCCATCCCTCCAGGGTCAGCAAATTGATACCAGAGTTATCTGGGAGGATAGCGGCACTGGCTCGATACATCGATCACAACGATACTTAATGAAGTCGAATGCATGGCGCAAGGATTGATCAACGCCGAGAGCCTTATCCCTTTTTTTAATGCTATATCCACCGTCCACATAATGCGATTAAGACGCGTTCTTTGATCCGAGTTGTTTTTAGCAAAGTAGTTGATGATAGATTCTGATGGAGAACGAGACTAGAGGCCTCATTTGCAATGACGACTGAATTGAACATGCTGGAATCTCTTCTCTTTGTCAATTACGAGCGGAACAGAGCCAGTATTTTGAAGTAGAACATTAAACACACTGCTCTGCCCGTTATTAGTCTGCAACAAAAGATCACTGAGCAGTACACCGCCGCACTTGCCTGTTTGAGTAGGAACTGTGTAACCCGTGACTGCCTGTTAAGCTCACGCGTCAGCCGCTCGTTCTGCTTTTTCAGCGCCTTCATCCTCTTCCACAACGTTTGATCGCCACCAGCCACTGCTGTAACGTTCATATCTGTTGAGATAAGAGCACTTAGTCATGTTTTGTGCTAAGAGCTAACAACTGCGGAATATTAGATTACGATTTCTTTCAAGATTCTTTTTCCTCCCGTTGTCCATTCTTAAGGTAGGAAGAAATGCAAATCTAAAAGAGTGAAAAGTGTTTGACGTCAACTTCGCCGATAAATCGGAGCTTACATGAAATCGGGAGACGGTAACTTGTTTCGGTAGAAATAGATAGCCGGAACAATAACGAGGGGTAACACATGAATCACATGCCAGATGCAACAAACCGCAACACATCCGACACCAAGGCCGAGAACTGCGGCCACGACGGCTCCATTTTTATACCTGAATGTCAACACCAGTAAAAGAAAATCGTCAGCACAAAAGTTCTACTTTCTACACAAGTAGATTCCACGGATTTCTAATTTGGTGCAACTGGCCGATATTGCAATATTAATGAAATCAGCCAAAAAAAGGAGGTAGTTAAACGCTAGTTCGGTGTATCCGTTTAATATTATATTTGCTTGGATACTTGGATGGCACTTCTTCATTGCTTGTGAGGACCGCAGCACAATTTCCGTTTTCTGGAGATTTGTTGTTTTAGCCATTGTGGCTCCATGTAGTCCCGAAAACACTCTGCCCAAGGTCTGCCCCAGGTCGTCATCACCACAGGCAATCGCCACCTATGTGGAGCAGAGGGAGATTTGCCACCATGCGACTAGTTTGATTACAAGATGGTGGTAGACTCCAGTATCTACTCTTAGCTGGGATTCCTGTTGGAAACGGCGGATTCCTTCTCAGCTTGGGAGAGCCCGATGGGGGACAAATCCCCTTGCTGTACATCGCAGCCCGACACCCAGGAACACTTCCCAGGCATGATGAGGTGGTAAACCGCTGGGGGGCGCCCAGTATCATAGAGCCATTAAATTAAAAATATGCCAAGATTTTATTGAAATTTCAATGGATCTAAAATTTTATGAGACATAGTGTTTTACTTATTGAATGTGCTTGTTTTTCAGAACCGTAGATGACACTGAGCCCTTTCTTAAATGGAAAAGAAAAAGCGATACCATAACTTACCCTTCAACTGTTGCGTCGTAGCATGGCAGTATTGGAGTTTCTGAATCACACTTTTTGTTTCAGGGAAATTTTATCGTTTTCTCATATTGGCATTAATTCATATGTAAAAGTATTTCTCTTTTTAAAGAAGTGTACCTACCTTCACTTGGGAATCCCAGGCTGTTGTCATCAAGAGGGCCGAAGTGAAATGGTGACGAAGAAGTGACATCATCCTGGAAAAAAATGAAATTTTAACTAGTAAATTATAATCATTATCTATCTTAAACTACGGTGTAGCACTTCTTGTTAACAATGCTGCTACTCTCCCTACCTGGGTTTACCGCACCATGCTCGGAAGCGGTGATTCCGACCACAGGGCCGTAAATCCACAGTGCGGTTGGTAACCCAAGGCGGTTATCCGAGTTGAGAAGGAACTCGAGTTATTCAGATAGCCTCTATTAAGCGTAAACCATCATTGCAGGACTAGTTGTCAACTATTTGGTAGCTTTTGGTTGAAAAATCGCAAGATACTCTTCCAGCCGATAGAGCAGTAAGTGCCTAGGAGCAAGATCCAGGAGCAGCGCCTCATTTGAAAACGAATCATTGTTTGAGTATTACTAGTGTGACCTTCATTTCAAGATACGGAACCAATCATTTCGTTTAAGCTTTTGCTTACATCAACCTGATGGGCCTGATTTTGTGACTGTACGGTACCATAGAATCTTTTTTCACCTGAACAGTAATCACATGTACTGTGGGGGCCTCAGAACTTCCTGCACCAATTCGTTTTTCTCGCACTTATCGTCGACAAAGGCCTTCGAGCATTTCGTGAGTTGTTTCAATTTGTGCTTGAGGATTTCATCTTTTTTTTCTTTTACGAATTTCGCAAAATGATATTTGACTCGATTCCCTTTGCAACCTTGAAGACAACCGGCCAAAGGCGTTCCCACGTGGATTGAAGGAGAACGTTGGGAGGATCCAACCATCACCTTGCTTCCTAATGGACTTCATCACTAACCGTTGCGTTACGCCGCTACAGTTCCTGTCAAATATATTGGAACTTCAAATGAGCTTCATTTTTCAGAAAAGTCTGCCAATATTTGGACACTGTTCGAAAGAAATCCTATCACAAAGTGTAGTACTGTAAAGTAAAGTGTAGCCTTTTTCCACATAGAAAGTCTGGTCACCAAACGCAGCTATTTTTGAGGTGGTTACAACTATCTTAGGAGTCCCGTAGAATCCAACCAAGTTAGATTCATCTTGGTTGTTTTACACCAGTCATAGCTGCATGTGAAGTTAACTGATGAAACAACAGGCGAAAAGCGATTAAGTCTCGCCTTTTTTATGTTTAATGACCATCCGGAAGAATCACACTTGAAAAAACGATCGAAACTAGAGAATATCCAAATATGAATGGGTATGACTTTGTCTTTCACATCCCACAAATTATAACGAAAGCTTGGATTTCAAAAAGGATCTTGGAAGCGAACATAGGAATGACAGATGAGAAAATCCAAGAAGTGAAGAGATCGGGAATATAATTAAGGATATAAAGGGATATATGTTCTCCAGTAAATCAAACATATGGAAAAGTAGAACCGTCGATGAATATGAAATCTACGTCGTATTGACACGGTGGACAACATTGTTGCGCTCCGATAACAATGCGATCAATAGGCCATCTCCATAGTTGGAACATTTGTGAAACACTACTTGGAACACAAGCTCAACAAAACAAGGAAAAGGAGCGCGGATTTCGAAAAAAGTCACTGACCAGCTGATAAACAAAGAACACTGCGCTCTGCATAGCTCACGAAAGACATTTGGTAAAATGTGAAAGACTCAAGACAAACTTTGCACCCTCAGCGTGAAATAATACTTCGGGCCAGAGTTGAATATGAAAAGAGATGCGAACATAAGCTGTTAATGATGAAGTGTCGAACAGTGCACAGCAGATAGGCGAGAAAAACGTTCGAGTGGGTTCTAGTAAAAAAAGAGAACTCATGAGAGAAGAACTAAATAGATTAGAGACGGCATCTAGCCAGCAAGCTACAAGCGCCCATTCAGAGGCGAAAAATGTTTTTCCCTTCCTTTAGGAGCAACGCATCATATTCGATGAGCATGGAAACCGCGGGAATGGACTCTGTGTGGCATTCCCCACAAAAAATCTTTTCTCTGGAAATTTAGAACGATAACGTAATTGACTTAACGGATTAAAGGGCGATTGTAGCACAGTGATCAAATGCGCACCACAATACACATGGAATCGATTCCACGCCCAAGATCCATCCCTCGTGGTCGGCAAATTGGTACAAGACTTATTTGGAAGGATATTATTACTGGCTCGATACATCGGTAGGCCACCCTGAGTACTTGTAAAGATCAGATATGCATTCAATCACTTCTAAACGATGCTTAATGAAGTCGAATGCATGGTGCATCCCTCAGAGATTGATCAACGCCCAGAGCTTTATCCTTTATTAACGGAGTTGACGGGGTTGGAGGCAACCTGACCGTTAACATTGACTCCCTTCAGTTGCTATTAGCAGAAACAGAATTTCTCCAAATTTCCACTAAAATGTGGCGGAGAAATATTGGTCGTCACAAGTGTTCTGTTATCTACCATTCTCCCCAGCTACCGCAAACATAAAATCCGCCTATTTTATGATAATCTGTTGAAGTGGGGTGAATTACTTCGCAATGTTAGAAACTCTACTAATAACGATTTGAAATCTTTCCAGATTATAAGGAATGAAGTTCTAAGTTAGGTCTAGATTCTCCCAGTTGATACGATCCTTCTTCTACTGAAACGTTGAGTCTCACATGATAGAGGTTTCCTACACAGTGTGAACGATATCCAGCTGACAGAGTCGCAATCATATAAACTGATCTTTTCGAGCTGATGCAAGGTTGGTATAGGTTTTCGTTGTTGTTGTCGTTGTCGTTGTCGCTGTTTTGGTCTATGGCTAATGTTTCGGCGATTTCGCCTTCTTCATAGCCGTGCTGTTACGTGTAGGACCACCCCTATTTATGCTGAGGTTGATAGAAAGTCGATTTTTTGAATTATTCAGAGAGTTGCAATCAGACTAATCGTGTTCTCTCTAAGCAAAGGTTGTGATCGACGAAGAAAGGGAACGGATCAAATATACAGAAGTGTAAAGCTTAGTTTACTCACGTAAGAATGACTGCACAGTGATGCACATGAAAAATGCATCATATCCTACATGTTTATTTCTTCGCTTAGTACATTTCGAAATTGTTCGTTTGGCAGGATCCATTGTCCCGAATCGTGGAAGGTGTACACTGTCATCCTACTTAGAAATCATTCGGAGTGCATCGTACAGCATTCTCTGAGCATTTCAGTACGCAGTATTCTCTGAGTGTTTCATTGATGAGCACGTTAAACATACGCGAACGTTACGATTCTCATGAGCGACCTTCTTTTAACCTCGGCATTGAGTGAAAATTCGACGTTTTTCTTCAATAAGCAGGCACGAGGTTATTGTAGGTTTTATTAGGATACGATAGCTGACGTTTCGGCTGTTTCGCCTTCTTCAGAGCCTGGAAAAGTCAAATTGAGATGCGATCTACTCAGCCAAACACTTTCATAACCCCAGCAGATAAAACTTAACAAATAAATTTATATGCATTCATTCTTGATAAGCTTGCACGAGGTTGATAAATATATTTATTTTCGGCTAACGTTTTGACGTCTTCGTCTTCCTCAGAGCCGATGATCCGAGTCGATGGTCCATGATTGTTGTTCATCTCGACGTT